GCATGAAAGCCAGCTGGGTGACTTTGGGCCAGTCACGCTCTCTCAGCCCAACCTACCTCACAGGGTTGTTGTTGTGGGGAAAATAGGAGGAGGAATGAGTATTGCGTATGTTTGCCGCCTTGAGTTATTTATAAAAATAATAAAGGCTGCATTAAAAAAATACACTATCACATAATAATATATGAGACACTGACAATAATAAAGTGGAGCCACTTGAAACAAATATTAAAAAATAATAAAGATCTCTTCAGTTCTCTTCAGTTCTCAGAGCTCTGTGGTGTCACTCTAACCTGACAACAGATATGTTAATCACTTGACAGATAATTCATTACTTCCCTTGTCTCTCCATTTCCACCATGGCATTTTACACACATGAATGTTCTTTTTGTTGTTGTCCAGTGTCACTGTGTAGCAGCAAAGCTCCCAAGAAACTGATCAAAATTGGAATGTCTCTGAGGCTCCAAATCCCCAAGCCACTGAAAAACTGATCTGAATTATTTTGCACCTCGTTTTATTAGCAGATATAGTCCATGCTTTGGCAATTTAATTATTTCTGTTCTTTCTTTCTTTCTTTCTTTCTTTCTTTCTTTCTTTCTTTCTTTCTTTCTTTCTTTCTTTCTTTCTACTTTATTTTGTTTCGCTGATAATATCGCCTTAGAACTCTCATGTGTCTTGTGTTGCTGTCCAACTTGCATGCCTCTTTACCTTGTTTTGTCCTAGAGAGGAGGCATATGACGAGGAGGAAGAGGAACAGCCAGTCACAGAGCCCAGTACAGAGGATGAGGGGGAGGAAGAGGCTACTAGGCAGGTCAAAGCCAGGTACTAGGATCATGACCTCCATAACATCTTCAAGACTTTTTGAAATAAACATCTCATTAAACTAACAACAAAACCTTTGCAATATTACAAGTTATTGTTACAATGTATATTTTACTAAAATTAAACCCACACATAATGTCTCTTTGTATTTAGATTGGATTTCACCCAGACTTAATCATGGTTAGAGTATACCCATATAAATTAGTCATGACTGTCTTGTCCCATTGATTTCAGTGGTTTTACTTTACCATAATTAAGTTGGAATAAACCATTTTTTAAAAATTGTGTGTTATTTTTTAAAAAACAAAAGCAGTGGAAGAACTACATTTCCTGAACTCTCCTCAGCACAGCCAGAACAGAAGCTCACCAGAATCAGGGTGTTTCCCTCTTCCCATTTTCATTGGATTTTTTGTTTGTTTGTTTGTTTGTTTGTTTAGTTCCCCATCTCTAATAGAGCATCCTCAGCAGAGCAGTTACAGTGCTGCAAAACTCCAACTTTGCCTAGATTACTTCTATGGTGGACCTATCTCTCTGACAGCAGAAGGGGAACTGCATAATATTCCCCTGCATAATATTGTATAACATCTGAGATACTTTCACAGGAATCATGATTGCACCCTTACTTTTTGAAAATTTTATAGAAGACAATATTTAGTACAAGCCACTATTTTAATAGGAAAAAAGATAGATAGATAGATAGATAGATAGATAGATAGATAGATAGATAGATAGATAGATAGATAGATAGATAGATGTTCTTTCATGGACATTTCCATTCTGAATTATATTCAGAAATTCTCACTCTTAATTTGAGCAGAGAAAAAAAATGAATTGACCAAACATATTTCTCCCAAATATATCAGAGGACACCACCTGAATGTCAGGAGCTATTTTCTGGAATTCTCAACTATTTATAGATGAGAAAGGCAAACATATGGATACAATGGGCTCATTTTGGGAAGTTTTCTCCAAGGTCATGAGTAAATATCATAGTTTCAATAAACACCAATTTGCCCATGCAACTTTCTACCTGACTTTTATATTTAATTTTTGAAAATGCCTTTTTAAACAGAATCTAAATGGGAAGTTGGTATTTGACAAAACAAAGTGCCATCCTTTATAAGGATTAAAATAAAAGATAGCTACAACCTAGTGCTTAATTTCTACCTTCAAAATGGTAAGGTGGGATGCTAGGAACCATTTAGGGGCACTAGAACTTAGAGCCATCGTATGTAGTAGTTAAGGCACCAGGCCTTAATTACTCACAGGAGTCTGAGTTCTAGTCCTTCCTTGCTGGGTGACTTTTGTTCATTCTCTCTCAGCTCTGGGGAGAGGGCAGTGGCAAACCACTTAAGAAAATGTTGCCAAGAAAACCACACAGACTTTTCCAGGAATTTCCAGGAGTTGAGACTGACTTGAAGAAACCTTCCTCCAAAAAAATGACCTTATCAGTTTCCCTTCAGGAAAGAATTTTGTGATTGGCCATACATATCACAGTTCATTTGGTGAACTGGCAATCCACAACACATAGTTATTTTATGAGAGCGCCCATAACTTGGTTTCAAAATTCAAAATTTGCCAATTAATTCTGACGAGTTCTCCCTGTCTTCCTGACAGATGAAGTAAGTGTATAACTAAAATTCTACTGTAGTTATTTCTCTTTGCTCTTAGCATAACCTGTTTATTGAAATACTTGCATAATATCATTTTCTGTCCTGTCTTTTTCTACCTTTCCTTACTTGTCTTCTCATCTGCCTTTTCTATCCAGTGGGTTCTCAGAAATACAGAAGGTTAAACATGCTTCACAGGATTCTGATACTTCAACCATCTCAAGTATTGTTTCTCAGGATGAAAAGCCTTCCAGGAACTGTAGAACAAATATTTCCAGGAGCTCATCACCGCTTGTGACTGATTCAGTTGCTTCACACTCTTTTTCTCATCATTCATCACTCTCCTCATCTGTCTTCAACAGCTCTTCCCAAAATTCTTCATGTGTTACTCCAAAGGCATCTCCAAATGTTGAGAAATTACCTTATGTACCATATAGCCCCTTTCACCTCTTCTCGTATGATGTTGAAGAGCCTCAAACAGCAATGAAAGAAAAGGAAGCAGACGAGTTCAGGGAAAACAGGTAGCACTTCTCAAAAGTTTCAAGGAAGTTTTATAGCAAGATAATTAAGATTGCCACAGTTAAGAAATGTGAGAAGAAGATTAAGAAATTCATCATGGGGGGGGGGGGTCTTTGGAATTCTTTCATTATTTTGCAGTTTATCTCCAAGCTATAGACAGAATTCATTGTGAAAAAAATGTGTGACAAAATCCAAATTAAATAATTCCATAATGCAGTTATCTTATTTGAAGTTCACATTTTGAATTTCACTGTTGTACACTATAGTACAGCTATACAGTCCAACTCATATAGGCCCTATCCTTGTTGTTTGTAACTTTGTCACACGCTGAGCATCACTGTGAAAACTTACCTAAAATCATGCAAACTCACCAACTCTTAAGAGATTTAAATGATCTTCCCTGAAATTTACACCTTGCATGATTCTGGCATATATTACATTCAATGTGCTGCCAAGCATTCTCTTATTTATATACCAGAGAACTGTGGTATTAAATGGTATTAAAAGTCTTTTGTAGATTTTAGGCCAACTCACAAATGTCAGTCAGAGTAATGCACATTCACTAGTAGCAGACAGGTAAGTATGATCAGAACAATCACAATCTATGTCATGCTAAGATTCATTTCGAAACAGAAAGTCATATTCATGGCCTTCTATCAGATTGATAGCATAAGGATAATAACACTTGAAAATTAGCAAGAATTTTCCAAATATTGTTGCAATAGTAGTATGGTGTGGTTTGTCCATCACACAGGGTTTTCTTTTTCTTTTTCTTTTCCTTTTTTTTTGAGTGTTAACCACGCAGAGTCATTCTGGAGTTGGGCAGCCTATAAATCTAAATAATATTCTTGTCCATTATTCACCAAATGGAAAAAAATTGTGCTTTGTTACATGCAGATGATGCTGTTCTTTCACATACTAGATTGGATTTGAAACACCACCTTGAGGCACTAGTCAAGAATTGCCAAGAGTAATTACAAATTAACTATGATAAAACTAAATGTTGGGTTTTGAGAAAAAATTCAAAAAGTATAGCTGGAAAATTCAAGATCATATGATAAAACAAGTTGAGAATTTTACTTATCTGGGCATTTTATTTAGCCATGCCAGGACAGCAATTTTTTTTTTGTAATTATATCTTCTCTCTTGGCAACTTACCCAGAACTTGGTGACTCTCAAAATTCAGTGTCCAAATTAAATTAGTTTAGCCAAAGAAATTAAGTTCTTACTTTGAACTTTTGGAAATTTTCTTAAATGATTTTTTAAATCTGTTCTGTTCATAACTCCAGGTTGGAAATAGGTTTTTGTTAGTGCCCTGTTGAGAAAAGAACCTCTTTATTGATTTTTTCTATATTACAAAGCTGCATTATATTTTGTGAGTAATGACATTCATCTTATTTTTCTATCTCTTTCTTTTGTATAGTGGCTTTAAAGCTTCAATCATAGCAGCAGCACTTGTAATTTGTGATGGGTCAAGCTTCAGTTCAGAAGCTACAGTATAAGGGTTCCTTTTCTTTCTCATTTGTTCTCTGCTGCTTTCACCACATTTAGGAGATCATCTTCACTATTTAAGCTTGAAATTTGTACATTTAGTTCTTCTAAATTCTAAATGATTCTGCTTCTCTAAAGATGTTGTTTTCACTTTGGAGAACTTCCCTTATAATTAAAAATTAATTATAAGCATGTCATCTTATTTAGTTTTCCCTAGGGGTTTTGTGCACTTAAGCCCTAAAAGATAATGAGCATCCTCTTCACTTCATTTAGTTGTCAAGCCACACCCCAGCAGGTTTATTTTTGTTGGCTAGAAGACAAATTTTATTTTGCTTTGATAGAACAGCATATTCCAATAGAATTATTGCAGATGCCTAACATTTCTTTCAACTAATTATATGGACTAGAAGCTTATAAATCACAAAATTTCATCCCAAGACAAACTTACACATTTCTTAGTAAAAGAGAAAATATTTCCTAATAGGGGAAGACTGCTGTAGTCTAAACAAACTACAGATAGTCCTTGGGTTATGACGGCAATTGGGACAGGAAAGCAACGTGGCCACAAAGTGCGCCATCATATGACTGCATTGCTTAGCAACGACAATCCTGGTACTCCAGTTGCCATTGTAACCCCAAGACACATGAGTCGAAAACAGGAAGTGGTGGGAGTCCCAGGTAAGGAGCACGGGTTTGCTGCTGGGGGAGGCCTAGTGCAGGATGCGTGTGAGTGCAGGAAGGCTGGGGGGGTGGATGGTATGGGACCAGCACAGGAAGTCCAAGGGGTGGATGGCGCGAGCACAGGAAGGCCAAGGGGTGGATGGTGCAGCGCAAACACAGAAAGACTAAGGGTAGATGGCACAGCATGGCATGAGTACAGGAAGGCCAGGACGTAGATGGCAGGGTGTGAGCACAGGGAGGCCAGGGGACTTACCAGAGCAACTTGCCACCTTCCCTGCCGGCTTCCCCATTGCCTTTGGTTGTGAGAAACCAGCAGGGAAAGTCACAAATAATGATCACGTGACCACGGGATGCTTCAACCATCATAAGTGTGAGCCGGTTGCCAAGTGCCCAAATCTTGATCACATGACCACGGGGGCACTCCAGTGGTCAGAACTTTGAGGACCAATCATAAGTACCACTCATTCAGCTCTGTTGCAACTTCAAAAAGTTGCTGAATGAGTGGTTGGTAAGTGAAGACTAACTGTATTCCCAGAAAGGCTATTGGTACTGTTACTCTGATACATGCTATGAGGAAAATGGTGTCTTGTTCTGAAGCTTCTTTTCTCTGATAGTATCTCTGGGATCTTGGGAAAGAAGTATATGGTGCCTGGATCCACAATTAAAAATTATGAAGATTTGGCCAATAGCAAAGGCAGAGGAGGTCCGAGAAGGCCTGTTACGGATATTATGCACACACTGATTATAGTTGATCTTCAAGCTGACATATAGAAATATTTAGATGGTTTAGAATGTAAGTTTCAGAATGTGCGTAGATTTTGCATTTCTTTGTAGATAGAAGGAGTGAAGCTGTTTATGTGCATTGAGCAGATGTAACTATATAGAATTTTCCCCCAAATTGGTACACTCCAGATATACTGTATTTCCAATACATCTGGAATGAATTACATAAGGGAAAGATGCACTACAGGACAAAGATTGGGTTACCAACTATTGAAGAAACTTTGTAAGATAAATGTTTGTTAGTAAATATATGCAAATGGTGGTAAAAAGGCTTTCAGAAAATATGCAGAGACAGAAACCTCTGGGTCTTTTTCTCCAGTGGCTACTTCAGGAACCAGTGGAAAAGAACCTCATTCTTACTGATGAACTAGTAACTACAGTCTCTCCTCATTTAATGACTGCAATTCATTCCAGCGAAATGGTCACTAAGCAAACCAGGTGACAGAGAGAGAGAGAGAGAGAGGCGCTGCAAAGATTGGTGGATGCTGCCATCGCATTTAGATAAAAGTTCTCTTGTACAGCAATGCCAGCATTACTCTCACATCACCATGCATTGTCATGCGCAGAAATTTGGTCATAAGTGTGTGCATTGGTCGGGAAACTATTTTTTTTTACTACCATTTCTTACCATTGAATTTGCAAATGGTCACTAACTGAGGTAGTTGCTAAACGAGGACTGGCTGTATATTCCAAGATACACAAACAGCAGTTTAGGGGAGTTGAAAGCATTAAGAAGTACAGGACACATTCTGTCTGCTACACCTAGGAGGAAGAATACTTTCCAGTTACAAGTGCAGAAACAATGAATACATATTCCTCTGGTGCTAACAAAATAAGACGTTTACCACCAAGCAGAAAAAAACAACCCTCTCATTCTTTATCCTAGCCTTAGAGATTATTGTTAGGACTATGTTCGGAATCTGGGTAAAAAATTGAAGACAAAGCATGAAGAGTTGTACTTGACGAAGGAGTAAAAGTCACTATCCTTTTCAAGCTTCTTCATGAAACAGTAACCCTTCTTTTGCCAATTCCTCCCTGGAAAAGTCTTGATTTGTGGGGCCCCAGTGAGTCAAACTACTCCATCTAGGCCATTGTGTAGTTGGATTTCTTGAGGAAACTGGAGTTTAGAAGGGGGCTTCATACAATGGCCTGACTCTACCACAGTCCCAAAAATTACTATCAGTTGTGAAGATCAGAACCCATCTTGCACATTTTTATATGTTTAATTATTAAAATTCTACACATAAAATAAACATTAAAACACAATACATAACTATAGAAACATAAACCTGCAAATACAAAACTAAACATCTAACTTAAAAAACATAGTCCCCTTCCACCCTTCACATTCCTCATGGATCCATTAACCATTTCTTATTCTTCTATACAGTTATAATCACTATTTTTTCTATTATATCACCTTATTTAATCTATAAAACCCTTTATCATCAAACTATTTTTCTCTACTTTTGTAATATAATCCATACTCCAGTCTTTAATAAAAGCCTCTGTAGATTTCTCTCTCATTACCAACTTACACATTTTTAAAGGGCTGATTACTTACTATATCAAGAAAACTGAACCAATTCTTGGAGACCTTAAGAAATTCATTCACCATCATTGGAGAATTGCACTATGTAAGAAAACGCCATCTTGGTAAGACAAGAGCTTCTAGATTCTGAGTTGACCACTATATTGAGGGCACTGTCTGAACTTATTAAATCTCAAGGGCAGATTCCCTAGGGCTGCCATCAAAATTGCCAGTGTGAGCAATCATGACACTTTTGAGAGACTAAACTAAAAATTAGTTGGCATTTGTTTGTTTGTTTGTTTGTTTGTTTATAACAAAATGCATTGGAAACAGAAAGAAACCCACAGCCTAAGCCTAGGATTCTAGAAAGAATACATTTGTAAGACTCTGACTTTGAATTGTTATAACCTAACATTTCCTTTTTCACGAAAGGAATCCCACGCAAACGACAAGCATGATATATCATTAGTCCCATAACAGATCCGTCTCTATTTAATTAATCAAGCACAGGACTTT